CCTCCTGCTCCTCCTCCTCCTCCTCCTCCTCCTCGAAGACAGCGCCGAAACGGCCCAAAGCAACCCAACGACGATCCAAGATCGCATAGGGACAACACTCGACCCGCCCAAGACGGTCCAGTAGTCAACCAGTGGTGCGTCGGAGACATGGTGTCTTGCTTTCATGCGCGCACGTTTCGGCGGTGGACAAACCTCCCTTTAGAAAAACAATCCTTTAATGAAACCTGCCAGGGGCCGACACCGATGGACCTGGACCCGCAAAAATGACGGCCGCGACGCCCTCTCGCGAACCGAAAACGGCCTATTCGCGAATCGACGTGTCAGGGTAGGAGGTCTATCAACCTCGGAACTTTCAAGAGGGGCACCATTCCAAATATAATCGACAGCGCCGGAAGGCTGGTCCTCCAGTCTCCTCCCATCAGATCCGTCTCACCGCACGTCCCCTCTTCACTACCTCCCACACATGTTTTCCCTGAGCAACATCCCGACCAAGCTTTCCACGCAAGCTTCGCTCCTGCGACGAGGGCCCTCTCGCGGCCTGCACGGATCCAACAACTGCGCCCACCAACAACATCCCACCAGACATCTGGGCGTCGGTGGGTTCGGGGCACCTGTCTTCCAATCCCCTGACAGCCCCTTCGGAACATGATTTGCCCCTGCTCCACATTCGTAGACACACGCCCACTCGACCGACGGCCGACCCGAGTCAAAGGCACCCCCCCAAACCATCTCGGTCATTGCGAGAATTATAAGATAAAATGCAGCTTGCGACATGACCTGGATCATCTTCGGGCGTCCCGCCCTCACTGCGCATTGGTCTGTCACACGACGGCAGGGGGCACTGCGGGCCCATCATCCCCCTCAGAGCAAAAAAACACTGCAGTGTAAACGTGGCGGCAAAATCCCCCGACATGTTTCGGGGGCGCGCAAGCATGGATTAGCGATCCATGGGATTGGCGCGCGGTCGCCAGATCCATGGATCGGGGGAGGTGCCCTCCCCAAAATGCGGCCAGTGCCGCCTCGCTCGGCGGCGGAAATCCTCGATTCCCCATGGAAACGGGACCCGTCGCTAACCCACGCCCCCTTAGTCCATGTTTGCGATCGCCTGACTACTTTTGGATTGCTCTCAGCGAATGAAATGCTTGCCCCTTCCCCCGACCCCCACCCCCATGCCCGGTCCGGTCGACTTGGAGAGAGGGGGTCCGCCCGGCCCCCACGGGCCCAGCCCCAGCGCATCATGGGAGGAAGATGAGCATGGTTTCCACCACCACCACCACCACCACCGTAAGTTCGAGGGGGGAAGGAGGAGGAGGAGGTGAGGAGGAGGAGGAGGAGGAGGAGGAGGAGGAGGAGGAGGAGGAGGAGGAGGAGGAGGAGCCCCTCCCCCTCCAACTTATGGTGGTGGTGGTGGGAAACAGGCCCATCAGAGGAAGGGGGGCCCCACAACGAACCCAAAGGGCCCCGAGAGTCCCCAAAGACAATCCAGGAGGGACCCGCCGCCGGAAGCTCCGCCGGGTCGGCCAAGTGGCCTCCGGATGGCCCAAGACGTCCCCAAAACGCCCCCAGAGATCTGGAAGAACCCTCCCAAGAGGGCCACATTCTTTGATTCGCAATCCGTTTTTGAAAGATTCTAGCGTTCCCGCCTCTTCGGTACCCCGGCGCTCCACGACGGCCCAAGGGGCTCCGAAGATCCCCCCAGAGGGGCCCAGAGGCTTCCAAGGAGACCCCTGAACAAAGAAGGCGAGCCCCCACACAGCCCCACAGACCGCCTCCAAGAAGCCCCATGAAGCCCCCCGTGGGCCCCCTTGCGGCGCCCGCAAGGGCTCCAAGAAAACCCCGAAAGGTGCCCAAGAGGACCTCACAGGCAGCACGCCACGGCCGCCCGTTCACCAAGGGGTCGGCGGTGTGGCGTAAGCCCAGGGATGCGCGTCCGGACTGCAGCGAAGCGTCTCGGCGATTCGACAGGACGGGTGTGTGACGCAAGGGCCACGCCAGGAGTTATGTTGCTCCCATCGTACTTACGGACCACATCCCAGAAATAATTTTTAGCATCCAGACAAGTGTCGAAACAGTGTCGAAACAGTGTCGGACGAGTGTCCCCCAGGGCCCGGCACGTGAAAACTTTCCACTTTCGGTACTTTCCTGGTGCTCGAGATTCTTTCGGGTGACCAAGGCTAAAATAGGTTGGGACATCATAAGTCAAGAGACACCCAGGAAGGCCAAGTGCACAATATTGCAGTCTTGTGCGTTGCAAATGATCCCCCCCAGGCAGGTGCCCACCCGTCTCGTCGCATCTAACACATTCCCAAAAAAACAAAGGAACATCAATATCATAGATTCTTGAGCGTCATCGGAGTCCACAGGGGCGTCCAACCGGCACAACTCGTATCCAAAACGACACAACACAGTTTCAAGACGGCCCAAAATGACCCCAAGAAAACCCAGGGAGCCCCGAAGACGGCCCCAGAGTGCCCCAGGAACGCCCCCCAAAGCGCCCCCAAACCCCCAAACATTGATTTCCCAATGCTTCTTGCTACATGTTAACTCGCCTTTTCCTTCTTTTCGGCCCACGCGGGCTAATGGCGGCCCAAGCAGCCCCCAAAATGACACCAAAGCGGCCCAGGAGGCCTGCCAGAGGGCCCCCAGACGGCCCGAGAGGGCCCCCCAAGACGGCCCAAGAGGGCCCAGAGAGAGCCACAAGCCGGCCCTGAGAGGCACCCAAGACGGCCTCCGAAGGGGCCTAGACGGCCCCAGACAGCCCGAAAACTGGCCCAGGCGCCACTCCGTCACCCCAAGTGCCCCCAAGAACCCCCGACGAGGGTCCGATATGGGGCCCCCGTGAGTGCTCCAAACACCTCCCATAGGACCCCCTACAATCCAAAACCCTAATAAGGACGCGCGGTAAGGACGCAAGACCCTTAGAAGCGGAAGTTGGGATTTTTGGGGCGGCGGACGACGTAAACCCCAAGGACACAAAAGCAAGGAAGAGCAAGGACGCAAGGGTACCCTGAGCAAAGTCGCGCGTCCTTATAGGGCATTTGACTGTGATGTCCATGCCCTGCGCGTTCTGGTCGCCAGGCTCTTATACGCTCCACAGAGGCGCCCACTGGGCCCCAGGACGGCCCAGCACGGCCAAAAAGAGGCCCGTCGAGGCCCAGAGAGGCGTTCGAGAGGCCCGCGCGCGGGTTCTCCCAAAGATGCAGGCGGCGCAGGAGCGCCCCACGACGGCCCAAGACGCCCCCAGTAGGCTCCCAAAGACTTGACTGTGCATACTTTTTAGTCGGCGGCCGCGGGCGAGCGCGCCGGCGGCGAGTCAGGTCAAAGCGGGCTACGCAGAGACTAACTAGGCAGAGGAAACGCGGGAAAAACAAATACAAAGCAACGCGCGAGGCGACGGCTAAGCGCGGCCGAGGCCTCAGGTCGGTGGCTGAGGGGACTGAGAAGAGACCCGAAACGCCCGTACTCTCCGCGGTCCGGACGTGCACCCCGCGATGCGAGAGGAAGCATTGATATTCCTTGTGTGTGTGTTTATGTTCTTCGCGTTCTCGCGTTTTCGGGCTTCCGACGCTCCAAGATGGCCCCAAAGACCCCCAAGGCCGCCCCAAGACGGCCCCAAAAGGTCCCGGAGAGGCCCCCAAGACGGTCCAACAGGACCCCAAAACGGCCGAAGAGGCGCCCAAGATCGCCCAAGAGGGCCCCAAGACGGCCCCAAGAAGGGCCCAAGAGGGGGAACACGAACCGACAATTCGAACCTTCCGCCCCAAGAGGCCCCACAAGGCCCCCAGGAAGCCCAAACAGAGGACCCAAGAGGCCCCCGAACGGCCCCCAAGAGGCCTCAAAACTGCCTCCAAGAGGCCCCCGAGAGGCCTCCCACGATATTCAAACGAACATCCAAGAGGCCTCTAACCCACTACCCAGGCACGGCGGGGAGATAGGCCGAAGGCCACCAGATAAACGCCATGCAAATAGCAATGCCAAGCGTTTACGCGGTCGGGCGATAGGTCAGATATCAAAGCGCGAATACAACGTTCCAGATCATAAGATCGCATACGTGCGATGCGCGTAACTGGGGGGCTCTTTGGTCAACAACCACGGATACCACCAGCTCAGCCGACATGTTCAGATATCCTGGGCGTGTCCATCAAAAGCCCCCCGAAACGCCTCCGAAAACGTCCGCCGAAAATTGTGCCCCGAAATGTCCGCCAAAACGTCCGCCTAAATGTCCGCCGAGTGGCCCCCCCTCCGAACTGTCTACCGAATTGCCTGCCGAATCGAGCCCCGAATCGCGCCCCGAATCACCCGACGAATCGTCCACATAAGTGGTCCTCTGGAGCACCCAAACGCAAATCGGCGCGCCTGCGGAAAAAAAATGATGTGCATTAGAAACCAATTCCAATGTGATCTAGGGGGAAAGATGCGCAGCACAATTCGGGGCGCAAGTCGAGGGCAATTCGGGAGACAGTTTGGGGTGGCAGTTCGGCGGACGTTTCGGGGGGACGGGGAGGGTCGACTCTTGGTTGGAGTTCCGGGCCGCCAGGAACGTTCCACCAGGCTCTCGAGAAGCACCCCGAAAGACCCCTTGACGCATCCACTAGGCCACTGGCCCTCAAACCTGGCGGGTTGGCGGGGTTGGCTAAAGGCCACTCGATAGCGAACCGAACCTGCCCCCCCCGCGATGCCCTGCTGCACCTACCTTACCCCTCGCGGAAGCCCTAGATTGATCTGGACGACAAAGAAATCATTGATCGCATGTAGATAGAAACTATGCCCATGCGCTGACACCGCGCACTGCCGTTTTCGGGGGGCACGTGTTCGCACGAGGGCTATACGAATCGCGTTTCGCAGACGATCCCCAGGGGCCCACGGTTGGGAAGCAGGGAAGCGCCGCTCTGAGAGGCGAGGTGCGGGGGGAGGGCGGGAAGGGAGAGGAAAGGGGAACACGAGGGCGGAAACGAAGGAGGCGAAAGGAGGGGCGGGGGAGGAGGCGGCGAGCAGCTCGCCTCGAGCTCCCTCATGATGGCGAGCGCCTTCGGGGAGGCGGCACGGTGCCCTGCGCCGCCCACCCGCCGGCGCGCCTGACTGTCAGGGCCCGCCTGCTCGGGCCAGTCCGCCCGCCCATCTTGCACTGCCCGCCCTCCATCCCGCCCGAGGAGGAGGAGGAGGAGGACTAGGAGGAGGAGGAGGAGGAGGAGGAGGAGGAGGAGGAGAAAGAGGAGGAGGAGGAGGAGGAAGAGAGGAGGACAAAAGAAGGAGAGGAGGAGGGGGAGGAGGAAGACAAAAACGAGAGGGGAGAGGGCAAGGGAGAGAGGAGATGACGAGGAGAAGGAGCAGGAGCAGGAGTAGGAAAGAGATGAGGAGAGGGAGACGGAAGAGACGAGTCCCGGAGAAGAAGGTTGAAGGAGGAGGGGGAGAAAGGTAGACGCTCCAGCCCTGTTGCCTAAATCCGCGCATCGCCTTTTCACGAAAAACAATAGCAACAACAACAACAACAACAACAATTACTAGCACGTGGGGACACTCCGTTCTCACCAGTGCCAGGGTTTTCATAGGAGGCGGGCAATACCCCCACTTTGTGGGGGGGCCGGTTCAAGCTCTACCAAATTTCCAAACGACTCTTCGCCACCACCCACACCCAGCTTCCCGCCCTATGACGTTCGGACACTTCACTTCGTGGCATGCGGACGACCGTGGCTACTATTCAGGGCCCCGCGGCCGACGACGACGGCGTGCGCGCGCGAAGAAAAAACGAATGTGTCCCGCATGGTATTATTTGACAGGGATGATGGCCCTGGCAGGTGCGCAACCGTTGTTGCAGAAGTTCGAAAAAGTTGCTCGCAAAAGCCCGTTTGACAGAAATGTTTAAAAAGTGTTGGGTTTCCTACGAATCCGCAAGAGCGCGCGGGATGAATTTTGACATTTTTTTGTTGAAAAACCATTGGTTTTTTGATGTTTTTATGTTAAAATCGCTACGAACACTAAGGTTTTGGAAGGATTTCGTCTTGCGCGCGCGAATGTCCACTTTACCTTATTTTTTGCAAGGGATTCTTGAAGTTTGGTTATGTTAGAACAAGAAATGTCCACTTTAGCTGATTTTTTGCAAGGGAAAACCGATCGTAACAACACAACCGGATCCGGACCAACCCGTTTTGCCTGAGACTTCCTCACGAAAATGATGAAAATGTGGCTGCGGCCTAGGCGCGGTGGGGGGGCCATGCACCAGGGGCCCCAACAATAATTATTCTTTAGAAGTAATAATGTTCAACAACAACAACAACAACAACAACAACAACAACAACAACAACAGCAGCAACAACAACAATAATTTTAAGACTGTTCGCCCTTATATGCTCGAGTGTCCAATAACGCGTATTTCCCAAACCCTCGATACCCGCCCTCTTCGTCTTCGATCGAACCCCTTTTGGGGGGTATGCCTTTCTTCCCTGCAGGCCGGGCCCCGGCAAGCGGCGGGGCGGCCGCGGACCGTCGGCCTGGCCAGCCGCAGCGCTGATCGGCGGGGCGGCCGCGGACCGTCGAACCGACCCCAAGAGGGACGGACAGGGGACCGACCACGACGACGACGACGACGACGACGACGACGACGACGACGACGACGACGTCGAAGACGACGGCGACGACGACGACGACGACGACGGCGACGACGAGCGAAAGCGAGAGCGAGAGAGAACGACAGCAGGGCCACGAAGGGCACGAAGTAGGCCACGAAGGGCGACAGCGGGGACACGAAGGGAATGCGTATGGGGCCACGAAGAGTGCGAACGAGCGGGGGCCACGAAGTGCAGATAATGCGGGGCCACAGAAGGCAACTATGGGGCTACTGAGGGTAGCAACTGGGCCACGTAGGACAGTGAGGGTGACACAAATTCCGACAGCGGGGCCACGAAGGGCATGCACATGGGGCCACAACGGGCGCGATTCCTGGGTGCCTGGGTGTCGGGAGCGCGGCGCTTGGGCACATTGCAGGAAATTCCCACGCAATGCCATTCCTCAGTAAGTTGCAAGCAAATCTCCAGCGAGAGCGCGACTCCAGTGCGCCGGGAGAGCGATTCCGGAATAAATTGTAAGGAAGTCCCAAGCGAGAGCGCGATTCCTGGATAAATTGCGAGAAATCTCATCTCGGGCGGGAGCGGGGGTCCTAGCTAAATTGTAAGGAAGTCTCAGGCGGGAGCCATTGCTGTTGTAACCCGGGGGCCAGGGGCCCAGTTTGAGCATCAAGACTTTCCCTGTCAAAAAACAGGGTGCGAGCGTCGAGGGGCACACTTTGATTGAGAAAAACAATATGCACCAGTGGGGGGATCAACCATAATTATTCTTCAGAAATCACAATTCAACAACAACAACAACAACAACAACAACAACAACAACAACAATAATAATAACAACAACAACAACAACAACAACAACAACAACAAAACCAACAACAACAACAACAACAACAACAACAACAACAACAACGACGACGACGACTACGACGACAACAACAACAACGACAACAACAGCAACAGCAACAGCAACAGCAGCAACAGCAACAGCAACAGCAACAGCAACAGCAACAGCAACAGCAACAGCAACAACAACAACAACAAAGCAAAATAAATTGCTGGTGTACCCGGACTGGGTCCTCCAGCGCGCCCTTTCGCTCCATGTGGTGAAACATCTCAATGGTGTACCCGGCCCACCCCGTGTTGCGTTGCGTTGCGGTGAGGGATGCCTTGGGAATCCGAAGGACTCTGTCGGAATCCTAAGGGGGTCCCTAGGGAAGCCTTCGAACCCCCAGGGAGCCCAAGGAAACCTTAGGAATGCCTAGGGAATCCTTGGAACCCCCCAGGGAGTCCCGAGGAGACCTTCGGAATCCCTAGGGAATCCCTCGGGAATCCTTCGGAATCCCTAAAAATAACATCCCTATGGAATCCTTAGTTTTCCCTCGGAAATCCTTAGCTCTCCGTGAGAGATCCCGAGCCCCCTTTGCGGACTCCTCAACACTCCCTGCGGATTCCTCACCACTCCCGACGGAATCCTTCGCACTCCCTACGGAATCTGTCGCCCTCCCTACGGAATCCTTTGCATTCCTTACGGAATCCTTGGCACTCCCTACATTCGTAGCACTCCACAAGAAATCCTTAGCAGTCCCTATGGCATCATTACCACTCCCTACGGAGCCCTTAGCACTCCCTACGGGATCCATACCACTACCACTCCCTACGGAATCCATGAGAAACCGGACGGGATCGTTTACACTCCCACACAAATCCCATACGACATGCATGGGACCACACACAGGTCTCATACGGCCTACATGGGATGCAACACTGATCCCATCCGGCCTGTTTGGGGCCGGATACAGATCCCGTACGCCCTGTATGGGATCCGATACAGGTCCCAAAAAACCAATGAGGCCCCCCTCCTTCCTCTTGCGGTCGGAGGGTGCTACGGGTGCCCCCGGCTCAGGGTGCCCCCATCGGTCGCTCAATTCTGGAGCCCCTGGGGCCCCCTGGGCCTCGTGAGGAGTGCTGGGGAGGCCGTTGGGGCCTCCTTGGAAACACTGGGGGCACCCTGGCCCAGGGGCACTTCTAGCAACACCCCCTGCGGGCGCCTCGCCCTTGTCCTCGTCCGGCTTCGGGGGCCGCTGGGCCGCCGCGCTTCCCCCGCTGGCGCGGCGCTCCACGGCGCCCTGCTGCGGAGGGGGTCTCCACGCCTCTTCTGCGGCCTTTCCCTCGAAGTCCTCTTCCTCTTCCTCCTCCCCATCCTCATCCTCCCCCACCTCCTCCTTTCCTCGTCCACCTCCTCTTCCTCGTCCTCCTCCTCCTCCTCCTCCTCCTCCTCCTCCTCCTCCTTCTCCTCATCCTCATCCTCATCATCATCATCATCATCATCATCATCATCATCATCATCATCATCAGCAGCAGCAGCATCATCATAAATATCAGCATAATGCTCGTCATCATCATCAAGATCATCGTCATCATCAACAACAACAACAGCAGCAACTACATCATCATCAGCATCATCATCATCATCATCATCAGTAGCATCATCATCATCATCATCATCATCATCATCATCATCATCATCATCATCATCATCATCATCATCGTCATCATCATCATCATCATCATCATCATCATCATCATCATCATCATCATCATCATCATCATCATCATTATCAGCATCATCATCATCATCAGCATCATCAGCATCATCATCATTATTATCATCATTATCATCGACATCATCATCAGCATCAGCATCATCATCAGCATCCTCATCATCATCATCATCATCATCATCATCATCATCAGCATCGTCGTCATCAGCAGCGGCATCGTCATCGTCCTCGTCCTCCTGCTCCCCCTCCTGATCCTAGTTGTCGTCATCCTCCTCCTCTGTCTCCTCCTCTTCCTCCCCCCCCTCCTCCTCCTCCTCCTCCTCCTCCTCCTCCTCCTCCTCCTGCTCCTCCTGATTCTCCTCCTCCTCTTCCTCCACTACCACCTTCTCCTCCGCCTCCACCTCCTTTGCCGCCTCCGCGTAAAAATCATCACCGCCATCATCATTTGCCCTACCATCATCATGATCGTCATCATTATGATCAGCATCATTATCATCATCAGCAGCATCATCATCATCAGCATCAGCATCATCAGCAAAAGCAGTACTGACATCATCAGCAGCAGCAGCATAGTCATCATCATCGTCATACGCATCATCATCATCCTCATCATCATCATCATCATCATCATCATCATCATCATCATCATCATCATCATCATCGTCATCATCATCATCATCATCATCATCATCATCATCATCATCATCATCATCATCATCATCATCATCATCATCATCATCATCATCATCGTTATCAACATCAGCATCATCATCGTCATCATCATCACAATCAAAATCGCCAGCATCATCGTCCTACTCATCAAAATCATCATCATCAGCATCATCGTCACCATGATCAGAATCGTCATCATCAGCAGCACTATCATCATCACCACCACCATCACCATCACCATCACCATCATCATCATCATCATCATCATCAGCATCATCATCATCATCATCACCGTCATCATCATCGCCATCATCATCACCATCATCATCGTCATCATCAATATCAACACAATCATCATCACCATTGCCGACATCGTCATCGTCATTGTCGTCGTCGCCATCATCATCGGCATCATCATCATCAGCACCATCGTCATCATCATTGTAAGCATCGTCATCAGCATCATCAGCAGAATCAGCAACACCATCATCAGCAACACCCAAAGTATCAACAGCAGCAGCGTCAGCAGCGTAACCATCAGTCTCATCACAATAAGCATCATCATCAGCATCAGCAGCGGCATCGTCATCAGCATCGGGATCCGCAGCGTCATCAGCATCGTCATCATCATCGTCATCAACATCATCAGCGCACTTATTATCAACATCAACACCACCATCATCATGCTCGTCAGCAGCATCACCATCATCATGGTTGCCGTCATCATCACAATCATCAGAATCATCATCAATACCATCATCATCAGCAGCATCAGCATCATCATCATCAACATCAGCATCATCATCATCAGCATCATCATGGTCATCATCACAATCGCCACCAACACCATGGGCAGTAGCATCGTCATAAGCCACAAAATCATCATCGTCAGCATCGGCATCAGCATCAGCATCAGCATCACAAGCATCATCATCGTCGTCATCAGCATCAACATCGTCATCATCAATACCGTCATCGGCATCGTCATCATTATCAGCATCAGCATCATCATCAGCATCGGCAGCATCATCACAATCATCAGCATCGACGTCGTCACCATCATAACCACCAGCATCAGCATCATCACCAGCAGTATCGTCACTACTTCTCACACCACCTTCATCATCGCCATTGTCATCATCACTGCCATCATCATTATCGGCATCATCTTCATCATCGTCATCGACATCATCATCCTCGTCGGCATCATCATCATCATCATCATCATCATCATCATCATCATCATCATCATCATCAGCAACATCATCATCATCGTCATCATCATCATCAACATCATCATCATAAGCAGTGTCAGCGTCACCACCACCATCATCAGCATGTGTCCCAGGATCACGCCATTTTCATCATAATCAGCATCATCACAATGAACATCATCATTGTCATCATCATCAGCATCATCCTTATCATCATCATCATCAAATCATCATCATCATCATCATCATCATCAGCATCAGCATCATCATCATCATCATCATCATCATCATCATCATCCGCATAATTATCCGCATCCCCATCATCATCCTTATCGTAATCATCATCCTCACCAGCATTCGTATCGTCATTATCATCATGCTCCTCATCCTCCTCATTATCCTCATCATCCTCGCCACCATCATGCTCATACCATCATCAGCATCACCATCTCCCTCACACCCATCAGCATCATCATCATCACCATCACCATCATCAGCATCAGTGTCAGCATCACCAGCAGCAGCATCATGGAAATCAGTATCATCGTCGTCGTCTTCATCAGAACCATCGTCATCGTCATCATCGTATTCATCCTCAGCATCGTAATGAGCATCACTATGATCAGCATCCTCATCATCATCATTATCATCATCACAATCATCAGAATCCTCATAATCAGCATCAAAATCATCATCTGCATCATCATCAGAACCATCGGCATCATCAGCAGCAGCATCATCATGCTGATCCTCATCCTCATCCTCATCCTCATCGACATCGTCAAATGATCAGCAGCGGCAACATCATCACCTACCTGACCATGCCACCCCGCCCCCCATCCATCCCCACCCGTCTCCTTCTCTTCTGATCCACCTCCACCTCGTCATCCTCCTAACCCAGGGGAGGAGGAAAGGAGAGAGAGAGAGAGAGGGGAGGAATGGAGGGGAGGGAGGAGGGGAGGAATGGACGGGCGGAAGGAGGCAATGAATGGAGGGAAGAGAGGGAAGAGGGAGGGGAGGGGAATTAAGCAAGGGAGGAGGGAGGGGAGGAACGGAGGGGAGGAATAGACGGGCGGAACGGGGAGGACACCCAGACGGGAGAGAGAGAGAGAGAGGGAAAGGAGCGCTGCGCTGAGGCGCGCCTGTCCCGCCCCGCTGGCCGCCGCGGGCGCTCCGGCGGTCATTCCGGGCGCGGGAGGAGAACGGAGAGGAGGAGGGGGGACAAGAGGAGGAGAGGGAGAAGGAGGAGGATGGGGGGGAGTGGGGGGGAGGGGAGGGAGCGAGGGAGGAGGAGGAAGAGGAGGGGGGGGAGGCAGGGGAGGAAGAGCGGGGAGGCGGAGGGAGAAAAGGAGGAGGAGGGACTAGAAGTGCGGGAGGTGGAAAGGGGGGAACCGCATACCAACACCGCCACTGAGGCCTTCGGTGGAGCACCCTCATGGGGCCACGAAGCGGTGACTGAAAAGGTGGGGGGACCGCATGCGAGCACCGCCACTGAGGCCTTCGGTGGAGCTCCCTATTGGTCCACGCAGCGCTGTACTGGGTGGGGAAACCGCATGTGGACACCGCCACCGAGGCCCTCGGTGGAGCCCCCTATGGGGCCACGAAGCGCTGCACTGGGCTGGGGAACCGCATGCGGGCATCGCCGTTGGGGACTCCGGTGGAGCCGCACATGGGGCCACGCAGCGCTGTAGTGAATGGGGGAACCGCATGCGGACACCGCAACTGGGGCCTTCGGTGGAGCTCCTTATGGGGCCACGGAACGTGTGAGGGGTGTGCCGACATGGGATGCGGACGACAGAGGCAAGAATGGGGGAGGAGGGAGGAGGAGGAGGAGGAGGAGGAGGCAGGAGAGGAGCGGAGAGAAGTGGAGACGCGGGGCGTTGTCTCTTCAACGAGGACCCGACACCACAGGATGGTTGGGAAAAAGACGAGGACCCCCCCCCCCCGAAAAAGACGAGAGGCGGAGAGAGCGAGAGGGAGAGAGAGAGAGAGGGAGACAGAGAGGGAGAGAGAGGGAGAGAGAGAGGAGAGAGAGGGGGGGGGAGAGGGAGAGGAGGGGAGGAGGGGAGGAGGGGCACGCGGCCCCCAGGTGCGGCGGCGCGCGGCCGCTGTCCAGAGGGCCCCGCGGCGATGCTCGACCGCGTGCGCTGGCACGGCGGGCACCGTGCGGGGCCGGCCACGCCACGAGAGGAGACGATCCGAAATATGTTCCCCGAGTGCGTGCTCTCTTGCGGCCCTGGGCCGCTCATCAGGAGCCTGGGGCGACGGCAGCCGCGGCCGCATGCTGCGTGCTGCTGCGTGCCAAACTCCCTAGAAGCTTCGCAGTCGTGCGCCTGCTCTCCGCAACCGCGCTAGCAGCGGTCGGCGTGTGTGTGTGTGTTTCTGTACTTGTGTACTTGTGTGTTTGTGTTTCTGTGTTTTTGTGTTTGTGTGTTTGTGTGTTTGTGTGTCGGTGTGTGTGTGTGTTTGTGTATGATTGTGTGAGTGCGGGCGTGTGTGTGTGTATGTTCGTTTGTCTTTGTATCAGCCCGTATTTTGATGTTCGAGAAGTACACACAAACGACTGACATAGCTGAACTGAATCACCGAAGCAGTTAGACACCAGTTTTATTTCCGAGGTAAGAAAATTTCGCCAGCAGTCTTAAAGCCTGGGGGTGTGTGGATATTTCGCTGGCAGTTTTAAATCAGGGCGGTGAGGATATCTCGCGGGCGGTTTTAGGCTAGGAGGTGAGGATACTTTGCTGGCAGTTGTTTAGCAAGAAGTGTGAGGATATGTCGCTGGCAGTTTCAGAGGTTGCGGATATCTCGCTGGCAGTGTTAGGCTAGGGGGCGAGGAGATGTTCCTGGCAAGCTTAAGCGAGGGGTGCGAGGATACTTCGCTGAAGTCTTAAGCCAGGGGGGAAGGATATTCCGCTGGCAGTTTGAAACGAGGAGTGTGAAGATATTTCGCGGGCAATCTTAAGTCAGGGGGCGGGATCTCGCTGGCAGTTTTAGACCAGGGAGTGAGGATACTTCGCTGGCAGTAGGGGTGTGGATATTTCGCTGGCAGTTTCAATCCAGGGGGTGAGGATATTTCGCTGGCAGGTTTAAGCGAGGGGTGTGTGTGGGATATTTCGCTGGCAGTTTCAAGGCAGGAGGTTGATGATATTTCGCTGGCAGTTTTAATCCAGGGGGTGAGGATATTTCACTGGCAGGTTTAGGCGAAGTGTGTGGATATTTCGCTGGCAGTTTTAAATCAGTGCGGTGAGGATATCTCGCGAGCGGTTTTAGGCCAGGGGGCGAGGATAGCTCGCTGGCAATTGTAAGCGAGGGGCATGAGGATATTTCGCTGGCAGTTGTTAGGGGTTGCGGACATCTCGCTGGCAGTGTTAGGCCAGAGGGCGAGGATATCTCGCTGGCAGGCTTAAGCGAGGGGTGCGAGGATAATTCGCTGGAAGTCTTAAGCCAGGGGGAAGGATATTCCGCTGGCAGTTTGAAACGAGGAGTGTGAAGATATTTCGCTGGCCATTTTAGGTCAGGGTGCGGTGGGTCTCGCTGGCAGTTTAAGGCCAGGGAGTGAGGGTATGTCGCTGGCAGTTTTAGGCCAGGGGGATTCGTAAGTCTGGGGCTGGGGGCGCATCATGCAGCCACAGTGTTGGAATATGGATCACGTTCGAGGGCGCACCATGCAGCCGCAGGCTTGAAATATGGATCACGTTCGACATTGGATGCAGCAGTGGGTCTTCCAGCCGAGTGCATCGCATTCAGCGCGGTGCTGCGCCCGTATATATGCTCGCCCCCTGGCGTGGAGCTGGCGGGGGGCCGAGGGGCGAGCTGTCCGGTGATTGCGTTTGTATGTGTGTTTGTGTTTGTCATCATGTGTGCGCGTGCGTGTGGGTGAGGGAGGGCGCGAGCGCGGGTGCGTTGGCGGGCGCGGGCGCTGGCGCGGGCACGCGCGGGCGCGCGTCAAGCCGCGCTTCCTTCCGCCAGCGCAGTCACTCTGCTTAGCCG